ACCACCGCCTCTGCCCCCAGCATCATCCCCACCACCGCCCCCGCCGCCACTGCTGCCATCAGCCTGCCGCGCCTCCAGGGCCAACAGCCGCATCCTCTCATACTGAGACAGCCCCTCCATCGCCTTCCGCCGCCGCGCCGCCGCCGTCTCCTCCGCCCGCTCCCGCTCCTCCTCGTCCGCCTCCTCTCCCCCGCTGCCCCCGCCGCCGCCGTCGCGCCCGCTCGCGCCGGGCGCCTGCTCGGCTTCCCGGGGCTCCTCTGCCGCCGCGCCCGCCGGCGTCTTGGCCTGGCTGCCGCCCATTGCCACGTTCTTGGTCAGCAGATTGGTGTAAAACTGGTTCATGTGGCCCAGCTTTGTCGGGTCGGCGGCCTCCTCCTCCTCGTCCCTGTTGGTGTGCGATTGTAATGCAGGGGCCGCATAGCGGTTGGCAGCGCCGAGGAGGGCCGAGGCCCCGGGGCACGCAGGGGCCGCATGGGAATGCCGTGATGAGGGCGAGCATGTGTGCAGTCCAGCGGTGGAGGGGGAATCGCCGACAGGGTGCCAAGGCAGCGCAGTGGTTGGGCCCCTGCCGGCCCCCGCCCCTCCCTGCCTTGCTGTGCCACCCTCAACCCCCTGCCCCCGCTGCAGCCCTACGAGCTTGTCCCCTGCAGAGCCCGCTGTTGCTGCAAATAGAGCCCCAAACCCCCATATTGCTGCTGGCAACTCCCCTATATGCGGCAGCTTATGCGGCGCCGCCTCACCCACAGGCCCCTCCCCACTCGCGACCTGCTGCCACGAGGGGCCCTTCCCCCCCCTTCTCCTCCCCTCGTCTCCACAGCACCCTCGAGCCCCGGCCAAACCAGCCTTGACGCCCCGCGGAGCCCGGCGCCAGCACATGTCGGAGCTCGCGGCGCCCACCTCTTGCGCTGCGCCTCCTGCCAGAGCTTGTCCTCCTCCAGCTTCTTCCTGTATGCAGACGTGATGAACTTCTCCTCGCTGGCAAACAGGTGGTCCTCCTTCTGGCGCTCTTTGAGCTGCGGCGGCGGCAGCAGCAGGGAGGGGGTGGGGGGATAGCAGCAGTCAAGAGGCCGAGAGGGTGGAGAGGGGTCCGGGAGGAGCGGTCAAGAGGGCGAGAGGGTGGAGAAGGGACAGGCGGGATGATGCGCCTGGGAGGCGGTCCTTCTCAAGCGGCATATGGTGCAGGGCGGGTGTGCTCCATGAAGAGCGCGGTCCTGCAGCACCGAGGCAGGCGGGCCCGCTGCTGCAGCGCTGCGCCACCAAGGAGGAGAGCCGAGACGCTTCGGCCTGCTGCAACCCCCGCGAATCCAACAGCAGCGGCAGCCCCGCACGCGAGGGCGCAGGTAGATGTGAAAGTTCGGTCCACAACACGGCCCCGGCAGGTGCCCCGCAGCTGCCCACCAGCTTCCGCTCCATTATCAGCTCCTGCTCCTTCTTCCGGTTCTGCGCCTGCTCCAGGATGCTGGCTATATACCGCGGCTGCTGCCGCGCCGCCGCGGCCCTCGCCGCCGCTGCGGCTGCAGCGCCTGCCGCCCCGGACGCGGCGCCGCCGCGGCCGGACTGGCGCTCCGCGGCGCGCGCGTCTTCGTCGACTGCGGCATCGTAGTCAAAAACATTTGGGTCCTCTTCGAGGGCCTTTGCCAGCATAGTCTCTACCTGGTGGTTTGGTTGCAAATAGGTGGGACAACATGAACGCCGCTGGCCTGAGCGCGAAGCCCGTTGTGGGATGGCTGTGACCGCTTTCAAGCACGGCGCGCGCAGCGGGGTGCAGATGTGTACAGCAGCTGCATGGTATGCTACGACGGTGCCAGCGACTTGCACATGTCCGTACAAGCTGGTACAGGCGAGTGGGCGGGCATGTCCATGCTGTTTGCATCTCTCAACGCGCGCGCCCGCAGCCCAGTGCGGCGCCATGGACGATGCGCTGCGTCACCTTGGTGTCCGCCTTCTTGGCGTACGCCTGCCGCTGCACCTGGGCTCCTACGGTCTCTTCCTCGCTATCCGAATCACCTCCAAACACGGAGGGTGGCTTGGGGCCTGCGGGGGCTGAGGCGAGACCCCCTCCGGGCTTGCGCACTTGAAGACCATACTTCACGCCCTTCTGTCCGATCACAGGTTGATTTTTCTTCATGATTCAGGGGCTACAGCTCCAGAGCAAAGGAGAAGATCCGAGATCAAAGACGTACGCACTCAATTGTGGTAAAGATAACAAGCTGAGAGATGATTATCGCGTGTGGATTGTCAAGATATTTCCCCGAAAGATTACTCTCGTGGCTGAGGCCCGTGCTATCCGTGTGCAGGTGGCATTTTACTCATGGTGACGCAGGGTCACCGGCAATGCTGTTAAGTGCCTTATGACCTTGCTGTGCAGTCGCCTGGGCAAGCAACAAGCAACGGCGGCCGTTGTGATGTACGCCGTCACGAGCACTGTGACCCAGGTGCGGGCTGAGCAAGCCGAGCCTGGTGCATGGCCATGCAGTTGCCTTGGAGCAAGCAGCAGCCATATAGTATAGCAACAGCGCTTTGCTTGTGCAAGAACGATGGAGCAAAGCAAGCCAGTGGCCAGCTGCTTCAGCACTATCATTAACTTATCATCGACATCATTGACATAATTGCAACGAGCAGCAGCAGCGGCAGCATCACCACCACACGGCAGCAGGTGCAGCGCCGCGCAGCTTGGGGCTTGAACAGCTGAGCGTCACAGCCAAGTTGGCAATGTGTTGAGCGCTTCTAGTTCAAGGCCCTTGGCCGGGGACTGCATGCATACGCCACAATCAGCATGTGCGGAAACTCTGACAATGTCGCCTACTCCAAAAGCGTTTGTGTGTGAAGCAACCACCACCACAGCAGCATCAAACAGGGACCCCCATGCCAGCTCAGCATTCAAAAGTGTGGACGTAGATCAAGGCAGTGCGCGCAGGCATAACAATCCTCTGGAATCCGTAGTCCTTCCCTTTGAATGGCCATGGGCCCGCCGCGCCCTGCCAACAGCGGCCGCCCGCTGCGGCTCCGCAGGCCCCGCCGCCGCGCTGCTGAGCATACACGTACGCGATACGGTTGTCGGTCGGCCCGACGTCGACTGTGGAGCCCGGCGCGACTGTGATGAAGCCGGCTGTGCGCCAGTCGCCTGTCCTAGCGTTGCGCAGGCGGACGAGGGCCTCCAGGGTCACGCCGGCGCAGCTGCTGCGCAGCTGCAGCAAGATGGGCCCCGCCTGCGCGGCCGGCTCTGACCCGCTTCCGGACGATAATGAGCCTGAGGGCGGCGAAGCGCGAGTGGCGTACGCGCTGCGCCACTGTTGGTCCCGCGCCGCGCCGGCGGCGTACAGGCCGTTCAGGGCCGCCTGCTGCGCTATGGACGCCTGCTGCTGCTGGTCGCTCTGCTGGTTGCCCTGCTGGTTGTTCAAATCCATTCCAAAGCGCCCCACTGCTGAGGCAGGTGCTGAACCAGCGCACGGCTTGCACACACTGCACCCGCCGCTAAATGGGTTGCGCACTAGACAACCGCAGTTGCAACCGTCAGACGCCAGCATGCGGCGGCGATGGTCCTCGCCAGTGGCAGCGGCCAAGTCGACCAGCACGAGCAGGGAGAGCGCAGCCCGGCAGAGCGTGATGCGCGTCTCGCGTGCCCTGTGACGTGCACGTGCGTCAAGTTGCAGTAGGTGGCGCAATCACAGCGATCCAGCTAGAGACGAATCAAGTTGGTGCTGCGCGCTGCCATGTGCGTTTTCACAGTCGCCAGGACCCGATACGGTAGCGGGACAGCGACCAAAGTCGTGCTCACATCAGCCGCTTGCGGATTTGAAGCGCCAGGAATCTCATGTTAGAATGTCGGACTTGGATGTGAACCCCGCGCTCATTGGGAGTGGCGTGCCGATCACTTTCGTGTGTTTCAGCCCGAGCCGCGTCCGCATTGGGGAAGGCTTGTAACTCGTGTTATGAAAAGAAGTAGGTGTGCCGCCAGTCACGGCTGCAGAATAAGCACGAAGCCATGCACTGGCCAAGTCACCTGCAACAGACAGATGGGACAGATGCACTCCTCTGGTGACTCTGGTGGCACTGCACGCGCTGCACCCATGTGCCTCCCCACCCCCCCTCCCTTCCGCCATGGCGCCCCCTGCGATCCCGCCTGGAGATTGTGTACAGCACAAGCAACCACCATCGTTGCAGTTGCAACTCACGTCGGCCGTTGCGTGCAAGCAGCATATTTCCCTCGCCTCGCCTTGCCTCGCCTTGCCTCCCATCACAGTAATCATTCAGCTGTGCTGCAACCGTTGAGCCCGGTGAGGGCTCAACGTTTGCAGTCAAGTCTCCTCCTCGCGCGTCTGACCCCCTGTGACCCACCGCCACGTGCGCAACGTTTGGCCCCACCAAAAGTTACACCGCCGGTGGCACCAATGAAAGGGTGATGGGAGTCAAGTCACAAGTTCCAAGCTGGCAAATGCGGTTGTACGTCAAAACGCGCCGGCTGCCCTCCCCAAGCGCGGCCCCCGCCCATGCATGCCGCATTCGGCCCCATCATGCCCGCGTCGATGGCATGCTGCGTCGCCGCAGACCCGGCCCGGGCACTGGCGTTGCAGCATGCGCTTGCATGACCCCTGCTGGGCTTGATTCCGTCTGCAGCAGGCGACCCATGCATGCACGGTCATTGGGGGCCAGCCCCCACTCCCGTTGCCCCTGTGATAGGAGGTGGTGGGGCAAAAAACCGAAGCAGGCGAGCGGCGACCGGAGTTGATTGGCAGTGGGTAGGGCTCGCGTCTGGGCGGGGTGGTGGTCGCGGGCAGGAGTCGGCGGGTCGGGCCCGACCCGCGCGCAATCGCCGATCGATGGTCGGCGCAAGGGGTCGCTCGGCACTCTACGCAAAAGTCAAGGCGCCGGGGGAAGCCGGAGGGGTCGCCGGCGCCATGAAAGAGTGGGGAATGGTGATGCCACACACTAGGCTGGGTCAAGGCACAGGGCGGGCACAGCACGAGGCGGCTGGTGCGTGTTATGAGATGGGGGAAGGACGTTACGCGTCCGTGCAGCAAGGGGACCAAAGGAATCTGGAGGCCGCCCCGCCCCTGAAAGGATGGCAGGAAGGGCCGGCAGGCAGGGCTCGATGCGAGCATCGCCCGAGTGCGCTGCGCGGCCCTACAAAATCGGGCAAGAGAGAGGGCCCCACCGCAGTGCCCTGCCGCAAGCCGCATGGCTCGGCGCCCTCGCATCGCCGGCCCGGCCGCGAGACCGCTGGCCCGGCGGCTCCCTGCGGCGGGGCGGGGGCGGGCGTGCCGGGGATGGCGGGGAGGGCACGAAGGGGTCACAGGTCGCGCGCAGGCGGGCAACGGCGGCAGAGGCCGGGCCGTTGCAACACGAGGCACTTGTTAAGGAGCGGCTGCACCAAATGCACGCGAGGGCCAGTCGGTCCGAGCCCCTGCAGCAGGCAACGCCGCATCAAGGGGTTGGGGCGAGCGAGGAGGGAGAGAAGAAATTGCAGCCGGGAGGGCAGGGCCGCGGGCCCCCGCGCCGCCGACGCGAGTCGGCCTCCGCCGCTGATGCAAGTCGGCGCTGGGGCCACCCTCGGTGGCTGCTGAGCAAGGAGGGGTGGCAGGACAAACATCCCAGGCGCGCAGAGTCAAAAGAATGGTTGTTTACGAGTGACCTTGGCGTGTGCGGGGCCAAGCACCGGCCCGGGCGCGCCACCGCGCGCGCGGGCGCTGTGTCAGCCGACACGGGCCAACCCCGGCCACAATTTGATGAGTGGCGGGTGTGTTACCGCGGCACCCTCCCTCGGCGCTGGGCGCTTGTCGGGCATACAGAGACCGCGTCGCTCGCGTGTCAACACGTGTGAGCGGTGAGGCGGCGCCAACGAGGGGCGCGGGCGCTTGTGCGCGGGCGGGCGGCCCCGCGCAACTGCGTTTGCACACGGGGTTTCGCCGAACCACGCGCGCAGCTTGTGCCGCCTCCACCACGCCCCGCCGCGCGCCTGGGGGCGCCTCCGCGCGCGCCGCCCCGCCCCGCCGCGGAGAGGCGCGTGCCCCAGGCCTACTCAAGGCCGAAGCCCTCCGCGTTGAGTATGGCGAGCCGCAGGCGGTCGGCCATCTTCTCTCTTGTCGCGTACTCCGGCAGCAGCAGCGTGTTGAAGCAGGTGTGGGAGGTGGGCAGCTTCGACGAGTCGGGGCCGTCGCGCTGGATGACGCACTTGAGGCTGCCCAGGCCGCCGATGGGGGACCTTGAGTGGGCAGTGGGGGGCAGGACAAAGGGACGGGGTTTGCACGAGCGTGTAGGGGCCGTGGAAAACGACAGGTGCCTGCTCGCGCGCCGATGTTGCCGCTGCGAGGGTCGACGCGTTTTTGGTTGACGCGCCGGAGCTGCTGCCACGCACGTGACTGGGCAGGGCACACGGAAACCTGCCGATCTACCACGAAGCATCGACCCAGCACCAAACACTTGCGCGGCTTGCGAGGTCCACTGCACCGGTCCAGAGACTGTGCAGTGCCGTTGCGCAGCAGATATCCATTGGAAACATCACCATGGCAGCACTGTGGCATCACTGTGACGTAAATGGGCCCCGCCCTGCCGCACCTGTCGCTGCCTGTGAAGAATTTGAGGTACATCTTCTTCTCATCGAAGCTGAGCTCGTCCCGCACGATGCCCCAGAGCCACTGCACCGCCGTGGAAGCCGCCGAGAAGCCGCCCTCGTACTTGGCGTTGCGCTCCAGCGCGGCGAAGTCCAGGTTGGGGTTGCCGCAGACCTGCGGGGTTTGGGGATGCCCGGGGGTTGGGTCTTGATTGCAAGCAGTAGTCGATCGGTGTTTGCAAGGTTGTGTTTGCAAAAACGCAGATCTCGAGCATGTCCGGGATGGCATGCGCGCGCGGAGTTTTTGTTGATGAAATGCTTGTGTGGGGGGAGGTGCATGCGTTTGGGGGCCAGGCGGGTCGTTCGCCTCTTTGGATGTTAGGAGAGGGGGCCATACCACCTCCGCTTGCGCACGCGGGAGTTTTCTAGAGACAGTCCACACCACCACAATCACGCACTGGCTGCCGCCATACAATACGCAGGCGGCCGGCCGCCCCACCCAGCGGCGAGCACGAGCACAACGCCCGCCGCGGCCGCCCCCGCGCCCACGCGGGCTGCTGGGCGCTCACCAGCCGCTCGACCTCGCAGGCGTTGAAGAGGCGTATGGCGGGGCCGTCGCACAGGATGCGGAACCCGTGGAAGAACGCCTCAAACTGGCGGTGGATGGACCTGAGGGGCAGCGCGGACACGAGGGCCCGGGCGGGGGTGCGCAGGGAGGCGGTGAGCCGTCATCGTCGCCGATGCGGGACCGACTGTCTTCAAGAACGCTGATTTGGGCAGCGGCCTGTTTGCCTGCTCAGCACCAACACCAATTCAGAAAGCAGCCACAATGAAACCCGTCGCCTAGCTGCCTTGCCTAACACCTCCACCCACGACACACCCATAGTTGTCCAGGTCGCACTACACAACAACCTACCTCCCCCCCCCCCGGCAAAAACCACACCCACCCACCTGCGCACACGCATCCACCCACACACACCCAGCCACACATACACACACATACACACACACATATACAAGGACATGTACACACATATACACACATATACACACACGCACACCCCCACCCACAGTGGCCCCCACCTGTTGAGGAGGTAGTCCACCATGAGGTCCACGTACTCGTGGCGGGTCTCCTCAGTCACGGGCAGGTCCTCGCCACCAGGCTTCAGGCTGGGGGACGATGAGTGTGTGTGTGTGTGTGTGTATGTGTGAGGGCGAGAAGGTTGTGGCTGCGGGTTGGGGGTGTGGGATTACAAGGTTTGGGGCTGCGCATTTGTGAAGTGTGGGTCAAGCGCAACCCACCAGCATTGACACAGCGAGCCCAACTCACAGGCCAGCGAGCAGCAGACATGAAACGTCGCCACACGCACACGCACACACAAACACACACACGCGCGCACACACACACACACACACACACACACACACACACACACGCGCGCGCGCGCACGCACACACGCACTCACACACGCACGCACACACATGCGTGACGCCGCGCGCACCTGATTGTCCTGAGGTCCCCGAAAAAGTCCATCTCCACGCTGAAGGTGAGGCAGAAGGTGTCCTCCACACTGTCAGGCCCCTGAGAGGGCCACGCAGCAGGGGCAGCAGCAACGCCAGGAGGGCGGCCGGGGGAAGGGGGGAGGCGTTGGGCAAGAAGGGGCTTGCGGCGGGTCTCGGCGGGCAACGATGAGGCAAGGGTCAGTGGAGCGGCGTGGATGGGGGGCCGACGCCGCCGGCCCGGCGCGCGCTGCCGTCGCGTTTACGCGTGCCCGGCGCCAACAGCAGCGCCTCACAGCGGCCCAAATCCTAGGGATCGCTCGCGACAGGTTGGCCCTGCACGCCACCTGCGCTGCCAATCCGCCTCCTGGGAAGCCGCTCTCTTGTTGGCCCTCCCTGATGCTCTGGGCCCCACGCTTTGGGCCCACTCTTCGGCCCCCTGAACCCCCTAGCAAGGGTTGTACCCTTCAGCAACCACAGCGAGGTGCCCATTGATAGGCCCCCAAAGCACGGGGCCCCACCCTTCAGGCGCAATATAAAGCCCCGCCCCCAAATGACACACATGCACGCACGCACACACTTACACACGCACACGCGCACCTCGTACTGCAGCAGCTGTCTGAGGCTGCGGCCGAGTGTGGGCTGCATGTCCTCCAGGTCCCGCAGGCCGACAGACTGGTGACGTCACCATGACATCATGCGAACGCAGCGGGGCGCGCAGAGGGGATAGGGCCAGGCATGAGAAGAAAATCGAAACATGTCCAAGCAGTGTGCCGGTCAGGCGGTAATCTGTCCATCTGCACACAGGCCCATACGTAGCCCTGCTGCAAAATGCACGGCGCGGAACGTCAGCGACGGGGGGGCGCGCCCCCTTCCCAGAATACACAACAATGAACCCTCGAAAGCCGTGGGCCGGGGTTGGGGGTCGTCACCTTGCCGCCCACCTGCTGCAGCAGCTTCTTATAGAGCGCCAGCGGCAGGGGAAAGTCCAGCAGCACGCGGTTGTATATGGCCAGCCCCAGCACCAGCCCCAGCAGCATGAACTGCTCCTCGCCCTCCTGCGTTATGCGATCAGGAGGGCAAGGCGGGGTCGGCAGCGCGACCCGCGTATGCTGGTACAGAGCCCCGCGTGCGTTTCGTCCGCCCCTCGAACACTCAACGTGACGCTTTCACGCCCGCTCACCGGGCTGCGTGCGCAGACTCTGCCCCTTCTGCACACAAACACAACCTCCCACCAGCACACGCAAAACCCTCGCGCCCGCGCACCAGGCTGCACGCGTTGAACCAGTAGGTGTGGGACTCAGGCTGGTAGACCAGCATGCCGTAGTCCGGGGACAGCAGCTCAGCCACCAGCAGCTGGAAGAACTCCTTCTTGACGCCGCCTTGTTTTGGGGGTTGAAGGGGGGGTTGACGGCGCCGGGGCGGCCGAAGGGATGGAGGCGGATGACGAGAGTGTGAGAGAGAGAGAGTGTGTACTCCCAGGCTCGGAGAAGATGGCCCTTTTCTCGACAGCGTGAGCGCAAAGAGACACGCGCCATCCTTCGCACCGCGACCCCCCGGCCGCCCCCCTATGCGGCGCGGCGCCTGCAGGGGGCGGGGCAGTGGGGCGCCCACCTGCGTCGATGCCCTCCTCTCCGATGAAGTGCACCCGTAGTGGCTTGAAGAGGTCCCGCCTGTACTGCCGCGCGATCTCGTCCAGGGCGTCCTCCACCAGGTGGTTGCGGCGCACGCGCACGATGCACATGTCTGCCCGATGGGGGGTGGTTTGTTTTGGGGGGGAGGGGGGTCGGTGGACGTGTGTGGGTGAGAGAAAGGGGAGTGATGGTTGGTGCAAAAGGTTGCGTGCCTGCGCCTGTGTGTGTGTGCACGTGCGTGTGTGTTTGAGGAAGTGTGTGTGTGTGTGTGTGTGTGTGTGTGACTCTGTGTGTGTATGTGTGTGTGTGTGTGTGTGTTCGTGTGTGTGCGTGGGTGGTGCCTGCATGGAGAGGCAGAGGTGTGGGATTGCACAAGCAGTTAGCGTCAAGACGTAAGTGCAGGCAGCAGGTCGCCGCGATCATTCAGACCACCCAGACCACAAGCCAGGCGGCGTTGCGCCGCGAGGGCCCCTGGCGCAGCGCCCCGCCCCGCCCCGCCGCGCCGCGCGAGCTCCTGTGGCTGCGCACCGCTGTGCGTCCCGGGCATGTTGCAGTCCGCCGGCCGCGGCAGGTGCATCGACCCCTCCCGCCGCACGAGCTGCGTCTCGATGCTCTTCGGGCTGTCCCCGCCGCCGCCCATCCCAAACGTCTCCGCGATGCCGCTGCCGCTCGCGCCGCCGCCGCTGTCCCATC